TTGATTCAGATGAGAAAGTCTAGATGTTCCTCGATGGGATGGAAATCTTACAAAAATTAAGCAAACGCAAAGGAGAATAAAAATCGTCTGTCAATACGCTCCCCCAAACTTGCCCAAAGATAATTATCATTGCCTATAAATAGATGTTTGAGGTTTGCTTGAATACGTTTTTGTAAAAAAAGAGAAAAGTTATTATCTTGAAAAGAACTAAGTAGTGCCTAGAAATCACTATCATGGTCTGGAGTGAACTAATCACTTTATCCTCATCCGTGAGCACATTTATCCACCTCCTAATTCTTCACCTAATTAGAGGGAAATGCAGCGTTGTCCTAGTCAGGGAGGTAGGGATTAGGGTTAAGAAAACACTTGTATTTGGAACCCCCTACCTCCCCTGGTCAGTGTGAAAGATTCTCAAAGAATCTCCCAGCCTAGCTAATCCATGACCCTCAGCAGGGAGGAAGTGTTAACAATTTAGTTTAAAACTCACACTCTCAGACAAAATGCATCAAAAACGGCTTTTCTCCTTTGATTTGTAGGTATTAGTTGTTTTTCCAGGCCCCATTAAGGACTCTTCATCCTGTACAGCAAGGGGCATTAAGCTTTCGCAAGTTAAAGTTGTTCCCAGCCCTGTGTTATTCAAAGGCAATTTACACTAATTATTCGAGTCCACCGCGTTACCCATATTAGCAGAATGAACCATCTCAGCAGGTAAAAGTACTTTTGAAATGTTAATTTATTACTAAGGTAGAAAAATGTCCTTGAGTTAAAATAGAGTTTAAAAATTAGCAATTTTAAAGGATGAGACCCAGACATACAGTGCCTCTCTTATTTGCATCAACTCCTTCATAGTAATTTGAAAAGGGCAGTGGACGCCTGTTCTCCAGCACTGGGCTTCACACAAAGGCCTCACCTAGTAGAGTGCGTTTTTCTCTCCAGTTTGCAAAGGGAAACCCAATGACTAGCCAGCCCACCTGCATTCAGAAGCAGAGCCGTGGTTTTGTGCCTCGAAAACTCTGCTCTCGGGTGCTGGGTGCTATTTCTCAGACACGGACATTTCCAAAAGCCTCTTTTATGAGCCATTGTTTGCTACCAAATGGGCTGTCTGGGCTGAAGCAGCAGCGGGGTGCCACCAACAACGTGCCCAGGAGCATCTGGGGCCCATCCGCTGAGGTCTGCACACCGGGCCGCCCGGGCTTGCTTCCCGAGGAACCCCTGGCACAGTTCCCACGATAAAACCAGAGGCTCTGGTTTCTAGAGTGGGCCCGGGAACAGGGAAACGAGAGGGGAAGGAGCAGCTGAAATTAGACTGCCACCTTGGGAAAGATCCCACTGCCCAGAAGAGAGACAAGGGAGGTCCTCACCGTTACAGGAAGTGCCAACAGCGACCCCTCCTGGCAACCTGAGCGGGTTTCAGGATACAAACCCCGCAGCTAGCTGTCAGCAAAGACTACTTTCACTTTATTCTTTCATTTCTCCGTTCTACAGGCACACAAATGTATAAGGACCAAGCTCTGTCCTTTAGCTGCTCAGAAGATAAAGGTGATGTGGTGGGGCAAAGAGACAGACCCACGCTGCCCAATAAGTGAAGGAAACGGTATACAGAAATAAAATAAAAATTCACTGAGCACAGGAAGAGAACCCAAGGTCGAAAAGTAGCAGGTGCAAAGGGCCGGAGGCACACACAACAGCATAGCATATTCTGAACCCTGAAAGTTTTGTGGGATATCCAGACTGTCTAGAACTGTGGGAAAATAAAAGAGAAGAAACTAGAGACGAACACTGGGGAGATAGGCAAGGACTCTATTCAGGTGTTCTGGAAAACGCTGTGCATCTTCCATAGACTGAGGCCTCCGACCCTTTTTGATCACATGTCCCCACCGCTGGTTCGGTCGTCCCTGGTGTATGTAGTTATGATGGGATTTATCATTGTGATTGATGACTACCATCAATGCTTATCTTATTTCTTACCTTCTTGATAAAAGCATATTAATAAAAGTGCTAGTATTTTCTTTCCTCACCCCAGTGGATTGTTGGCAGTGTTATATTGCCCAAAGCCGATGGACCCATGGAAGCCCAAGGTCATCCTGGAGAGTGCATCTGTCCATCACAGTAAGGTGTATGTGCTTCCACTTCCTCATTCAAGCAGGCACTCTGTCCCTTTCCAAGCCTTCTGACCTCATTAGGTCAGAGGCAGGTGAAGTGCAATTCCAGTAGAAGCTGAAGCAGTCCCCACTGAGCACTCAGCAGGTGTGTCTGCCACCTCGCACAAGACCTCTGCCACAGGGGATACAGGGTTCTGCACCCCATAACACCTGTTCCCTCCTGTCTTGGAAGGGGTACACTCCTGGCCCATGAGCCAACACACCCAAGAGTACACAGGATAGATTCTGTAGACTAGAACATAGCCAGAAATACAGCAAGATCACCCCCAGGTCAAGTTAAAGTGGAGAGTAATTAATATACAATAATAACAAGAGCTCTAACATAAACAAAAAATACGTAAGTCACAATTAAGCCAGAAGCTATTTGCACTTTTGAATTGTCTACTGCATGCAGTTTTCCATACATTCTTTATTACTCCTCCCAATACACACACACGCACACGTGCACACATGCACACACACACGTACACACACACACACCTGAACAATTCCAAAGGGATCAAAAACCCATGCCAGATGCTCACACTATACCTAATAGATCAACTACTACTAGAAATCATGAATGAAAGGGACCCCTCTCTTTGCAAAACTTTGTCCTAGACTAAAATGTGTATGGAAGTCTTTGGAAATGTTCAATCCTTTTGCATCTAGAAATAACTAATAGAGTCAGGATGCTTCATGCTACCACAATCCATCCATCCAACAAATATTCATTGTTATTGATTGAATATGTCCCATGTGTGGCTTCCACACACAGTGTTTATAGTTACAATGGGAAGGGACACATTTTCACCTAGTATTAAAATATTACTTGTCAAACAGTAGGAGATGGATATCTAAAATGATTGCTCAAGCTAACTCTACTCCAGATAGAGACCTGATTCCTGATCAGTGCTGTTCATACCACTTTTCCAAAATATCTTTTTGAATCAAACTGAACTATCATGTCCATTTCTATATGGAGAATACAGTAAAAATGTTACTTATTTGGAAACGACAATAACTCAGATGCTCTCTGAACTAGTCCTTCCTTTTTCAGAAATGCTTTTATATTGCAGATAGTATAAATGAATGGTGTATTAATTAGGAGACAGGCTATAAGGAGATATGGAAAGTATAGAACAAATTGCTTCCACTACTCTTATCATACATCCTTCCTGGCAAATAATGGATATGAAATCACAAACCAATTGATTAATCATGTATCCTAAAGACCTTTAAAGTTCCAGCCCAGTGTTAATTACAGAGCATCCATAGAAATAAGAATAGTACATTCCCATAAAACATTTCAATGGTTCAAAGTATTCCCCAGTTAATCTGGCTGCCCCTTCACCACTACCACCATTTAATTTGAATTAATGAGGATAGATTTGCTAATGAAAGCCAAGAACTGTCTTCATTCTGATGCGACAATATAGTCATCAGGAGAAGCTGTGTAAAATAATTTCCATGGTATATGTTGAGAACTTCAGATGCTAAAAGGTGATGGTGCCTGGCTAAGGTTTATGATCAGAAGGTGATGGAATTAAGTTACAACTGAAAAGTTTCTTTTAATTTTAAAAAGCATAAAGAAGCAACACTTTTTCATATGGAATGGAGCATTGAAAATGCACAATGAAATTAAAGCCCTGAAAATCTTTACAAAGTCTCTCATTATTTTTGGACCAATGCAAAAATAAAAACTTTACAGAGTCAAGAATCAAAACACATTACACAAAATATAAAAGATTTGGTGCTAAAGATTGTATAGATAATATGCATATCATATATGATAGGCAACCTTTAAAATGGTGGCTTCCACTGGAAACCACATAGGCTATTTTAGGAAATTGTATAAAATGGGTTTACTGGCTGCTATAAATGTCTCTAAACTTAATTCATAGACCAAGGTAACACAGTTCAATAGAAAAGCACTCGGTTTAGAGACTGGAAGCTCACACCCCAGGCCCAGCTCCACCAGGAGCCACTAAGGCAACAGCTGGCAAATTGCTTAACCTAGTCAGCCCTCCCTGTACCCCACGAGAAAACAAAGGTTTGACTCTCTTTGCCCTCCAGGATCATACCTGCTCTAAAACCGTTCAACTCTGTACAAGAAGCATTTGATGTAATCATCAGAGGAAATTTGTGTGTAAAAGCAAGTTATCCAAAAATAGAGATATGCGGGATTTTTTCTTTTTGGTACCAGGGGTCGAACTCAGGACCTTGAGCTTTCGAAGCAGGCAGCAGAACCACTGAGCTAAATCCCTGGCCCCTATATGTGGGATTTTTAAAAATGTTTGAATTGACCATAGTTTTGTTCAAAGCACTTACATGCACGCATACACATGGGCCTGTACAGTGTACATTTTGTAAGATGTATCAATGGTATCTTTTCCCCAGCTGAGTAAAACGTGGCTCTGCAGGCATGCAGATTGTGCTGCATTTGTTCATTCTGCACAGGGCTGTTGGCTCCAGCCAGCCTTTGATTCTAATTAGTATAAGTCCAGCTGAATCAGAGGGTGAAGAAAGACCAGGAATGAAGAAAGAAAATGAGAGGTTAGTACAAATGCCTATCACACTGTGAATATCTATTCATCTGCATAATATGAATGATCCCAAATATGCAAACAGATGTTTCTCTCATTAAATTGTATATGCAAATACTACTGGTAGGAGTGGTAATGTTGTCTCAGGACTGAGAGATGGTTGAGGTAATTAAAGGCTAATCCAGTTTTCAGTTTACAGGCTACACAACAATAGCGGTTGCAAGGAAACATTGTCACTTAACCTTCAATTCATTACCAATGGCACATGGATTTCCTACTAAAATAACACAAACATCTATATGCTTCTCATTACCTGTCCCTTCTGTGTTCAGCACCAGTGACCGGCACCACAAACTCATCCACTGAGCAAAGTTATGTGTTGTCATCTGCAAGAAAATTTTATTTCCTCAAAAAAGTGTTCAGAAATCATCTAGAGTCATCATCTCCAAAGTCATCATAGAAAAAACATCTGAAATAATTAGAAAAATTCACTCTCAAATATTGCATATGAGATACTAGAGACTACAATATCTTGACCAAGATTATACTGTTTTTCTTACTGGGAGAGTCGGAAATGTAAATGATGTGGAATTTTTTTTTTTTTTTTTTTTTTTAATGAAAAAGTTTAACTCACCACCTGGATTTTTCCACTCCCCATTTTAAGGAGGGAGAATTGGGAGGAGAGCAGCAATTAAGAAGAGTTCAGAAGTGACAGTTCTGGGAGAAGAAACGCAAGGTCAATACAAACTCTGTGCTTGCAGGAAGAGTTGGAGAATAGCAGCAGGAGAAAAGGTTTTATTGCATCTTTGGAAAAATAAAGGAGGGTTTATTTCTTGATCAATAGTTATAAAGAGCTTACCTTAGGTTTAGAGGGAATCGGGGTTCTGAAAGGGTAATCTCTTCTCTCCCCTTTACTTCTTTAGCCCTTGAATCTACAACAAATGCACAGCCATTCACTCAGTGTAAAGACCTATGCAAAGCCAGCAAGCAGGATACCTGAAGTCTCCATGCTCCTGTAGATGAAAAGCCTGCCTTCCTCTGAGTCCTTGAGATGCCCATCGAAATGAAACTGAACGTTTTGGGGCAATGAGATCCCTAACTTTTAATCCTCATTATATGTTGAGGGTTTTGAAGCTCAACCCAAATTTAGCTTTAGTTCTCATGCCACCAGAAAATCAAAGCTTCTTTCAAGTTTGCAATTCTACATTAAATTTAAATCAAATCTTGGAAATAAAACTGGAAAGTTTTTGTTGTTTTGTTTTTTGCTTTTTTGTTGTTTTTGTTCTTGCTTTCCCACAGGAAACAGCGCTGACTTCAAAGCCTGAAAAGTTGCCTTGAGATTTCTAAAAACAATGGGCCTCGGTTAACTTTCCTAAAGCATCTCTTTCATAAAATTCGCACACTACTCACTGACCAATGAGAGAAGAAGGTAAACCCTGCATTTCCAAAGGGGAGTGGGAAATGTCTTAAAATCCTGGTGTGGCTTTTTGTTTGTTTGCACAATACCAAACCACTTACTTCTTTTTCATCATTACTTCATTTACTGATTTGTATTTCCTTCTCACATCCTCTCCATCTTTGTTAAACTGTTATTTCAATTCTGACCAAAGCGGGCCTGTTGAGTTTGAGAGGAAAGTAATCTGTCCATCCCACTGCTCGCAACAGCAGGGTCCTCACTGAATGCTCTTCGTATTTGTCCAACTGCCTCTTAGCAGGGAAAGAAGCGGGTAAGGGTTTCCAGTGCTGAGCTTAAATTGACAGGGCCAGGAACAGTTACAGCACTGTCTGAGTTATTAGAACATAATACATCCACTTCCCCTGGGTACGTATTAAAAGATCTGATCGCCTGCCCTCTCCTGGCTAATTCTGGGTAACATTTGGAGATCTCCAGCCCTACTCTCAAGAGGCTCTTTGGAAATAACATGGCCCTGTGCTTCTCTATTTGTTAAGTAATTGAGAGGTAATGGTGATTATTACATATTAAAAAGAAGCCAAATTCCCCTAGCACTAAGAAGTCCCGATTAGCAGTGTACTGCTCAGAACAGCACAGAGGTGGTGTTGAGGTAGATTTGGGCGGCTAGCCTTTGGTTAGAAAACTTCAGACAGGGCCAATTTATTTTGCTAAATACAACGTAAACATTCTCCCTCACTCTACAGAGTGGAAACCTTCGATTTGGGTGATGGCTGACCCCCTTCTCCATTGCCCTAAAATACCTGGATTATTTTTAATTGATTTACACACACACACACACACAAACACACACACACACACACACACCATGCTAAACCTCCTTCTGGCTCATTCTTGTTGACTGTCTTGGGTTGGCTCTGGTCCTGGAATGTAGGAGGGTGAGGAACAGGAGCAGGGAGACTGGCAGTAAAGCTAGAACATGGGACGTGGAAGGCCAAGTGCCATAGGAGACAGGGTGAGCAGTGGTCACTTTGGCCTCAGCAGAGTTAGCTGGCTGTTTCGAGCTTCAACATCTTCAAGACAGGAAAATAATCACAAATACACATGAAGTCCTAAGCCTTCAATACCAAGTAGGCTAACATGACAGTGATAATTGAAATTAATGACATCAGCCTGAAACACTGGTATTCCAGGCCCCTGGGAAGAGGTTCAGCTAAGGGATGTCTGTGGAAGTTTTTAATGTGGCTGCAGCTTTGACTCTGCAGAATAGCAGTGGGTTTCCAAGCACTCAGAGAAAGCAGCTGAGCAGCTCAGCAGATTTTAGGGGCAGCCCAAAATAATCTCTTTTAACCACCTCCTGTGGTGCTTATAATGGCTTTGGAGTCACTGGATTGCAGGAGGGGATTGTCCCTTGAAGCAAAGTCAGAACTTTAAGTGAAGTCAGAACTTTAAGCAGCATCACAGGAGATGGCCTTCAAGCCATCATGGAGCTGGATCCTGGGCAGATCGTAGTAGAAATTCAGTAAGTGTGCATACCCCAAACCAAAACAAGCATGCAACACCATCCACAAAGTGGGTGTTCCCCGGTGTCTCTGTCCCTCACATATGTGCCCCTTGCTGGGCAGTGAACATGCCACTCCATCCCTCCAAGCCTTGATGTCCTCATCTGTAGAATGGCAGTGCCCCATGTCAGAGGATTGACACAGACACTGTGGGACAATGCAGAGGGAATGCTTTGTCCTGTGTCAGGCAGCATTAGGAAGGGGGGTTTGCAGTGCTCCTTGGGAACACTGGTCTCCTCCTGGTGTCCAGCATCAGTAAGGGGGACACTTACTGTCCACATGGACACCACCATTCTTAACCCTAATGGCTTGTTAATTTAATTCATTAGGGACTCTTAGCACTTGAAGGGGTGTTTAAAAACACAAGTAAATGATTAGTCTTTGGGGACCAAAGAATAAACGCAAGCATAATGTATCACTTTTCCTGGCTCAACAAACACCATTTTGATGTGCTAATGGCCTCTAGTGAAGGCAGTGATTTCCAGTGAAATAACGCAAGTCAACAGTCCAAATGCAAAATCTCTAACAGCCACAGTCTGCCCACCCTTTGAGTCAGCCAGGAATAAACATCAATCCAATTGTATTTGCATACAAATAATATAAAAATGAAGTAATTTGTGCAATATGAAATGTGTTATCAAGAAATCTGTCGTGTGAAATGAAGAAGTTAAAAGCATTGATCCAGGAGCCAGAGGCAAGGCTTTGAATTCAACCCCCAACATCCACTGGCTCTGTGACCTCAGAAAATGATGTCAACACTATAAAATGGCACATGTCACAAGCACAACAGACCGTACCTTGATCTCAAGTTTCTCACCTGTGAAATGGCACAATGTAACTTTTCTCTCTCCCACAGGATGGTTTAATGTGGGCAAGTTGTAAAACCCTATTTAAACTTGGAAAGGTTTTGATTTTGATGAGTTAATCTTTCAGGTAAGTGACTATGGAAAATGATCCTGCCTGCACGAATGTCAGGGGATATACGTGACCTCAAAGGAGAAGAGAGAACGGGAGGAACATATGTATGAAGAGAGTTTTCTTTACAAAAGTGGCTTCCATTGTGGCAAAATATGTATAACGTGCGATTTACCATTTTAACCACGTGAAGTATTTGATTCAGCAGCACTCAGTGAACTTGCAATGTTGTGCAACCATCACATCCAGAAATTTTCATCACCCCAAAAGCAAACCCTTTCCTCATGAAGCGAACACTCCCCATCCCCTCTCCCCCTGTCCCTGGAAACCTCCAACTCAGTGGTGGTGAACCTATAGCACCTGTGCCACAGCAGGCATGCAGAGCCCTCTCTGGTGGCATTTGACCCAAGTGTCTGATTTGTTTTTTCTAAACTAAAACCTCTGTATTCAGGTTTAATTACAGTATTGGCACTTTGCAAAAAATAAGTGGGTTTCGGGTTGTAGTTCGGGCACTCGGTCTCCAACAGTTTCGCCATCACTGTGAACCTGTTCTCTGTCTCTATGTTCTCTGTCTCTATGCCGAGTCTGGATTTTTCCTGTTAATGGAATCATGTGTACCCTTTCGTGTCTGAATTTGATCAGTAGCATTTTTCTCAAGTTTCGTCCCGTGGTAGTGTGTGTCAGTATATTTTACACAACTTTAAGCCTAACATTCTTTAAGCTGCATATTCAAACTACATAACTAATAGAAATGATAATCTACTAATTACTGGATATTTTGTGTGTGCTGACATGAGTACTTGATATCCATGATCTCACATGATCTTCATCAGGTAAGAGCAGTTAGTAATTCCATGTTACAGGCGAGGAAACTAAAACTCAGGAAAGTTAGGTCATACAGCAACTAAGTGGCTAGGAATCATCAAATCCTGGCTTGTCAGATTCCAGAGCTCTTGTTTTCCATCATCCTATCTGGAGTTTTCACAGCCCCCAGGAGCTGTAGTGTGGCCAGTTAGCCCAGCAGAGAAGGTTCACAATGGCCCATCAAACAGAAACTGGCTCACCTCACATTCGCCCAAGCTCTGGCCTGGCTGGTACACAAGACCAGGTAGAGCTGAACTGGGGTACAAATACCCCAGGCATGGCCCTTGGGACTGCCATCCACCGGCCTTCTCATTGAATAAGGCAGAGTGGAAAGTAACCATTCCAATGTAAATGCTGTGGTTCTATTTCCATGACCCTCTGAGGTCTAGGTTTGTCTGTGCTTATAATATGCTGGTCCTGGAAAAATCTTCTGTTTTTAGCTAATATAAACACTCAAAACCAGATCTAGGCATGAGACATACCTGTAATCCCAGTGCTCTGGGAGGCTGAGGCCAGAGGGTCACAAGCTTGAGCCCAGCTCAGGCAATTTAGCAACTTAGCAAGACATTATCTTGAAATAAAAAATAACGAAAGGGCTGCAATGCAGCTTAGTGGTAAAATCTTGGGTTCTATCGAGAGAGAGAGAGAGAGAGAGAGAGAGAGAGAGAGAGAATGAACTAGGCCTAACTGTGATGTGAAGAAATATGCAAAGCCTTGACAGTCATGGGGATCTTAGGGACTGAAAGTGAGGACTCAGCTAGTATTTACCAGGACTCTTGGGTACAGAAGGAGGAGGAATTGATGTTTTGATCAGTGAGAAACTAACCCTAAAAAAGAAAAAAAAAAAAAGCTAAACAAAGGGCCTGGGATTTAGCTCAGTGGTTTCGCCACCTGCCTCACAAGTACAAGGACCTGAGTTCCATCCCTGGTACCAAAAAAAAAGCCAAAAGAAACTAATCCTAAATGTTCAGCATTAAACGGAAATCTGCAAACACCTTCCTTTTCCTATAATGGTGCTGGATTCATAGGAGAGATATCCCCTCATCTTTGACCACTGTTTTGTTATTCTTTAATCCATCCAGTTGGAATGAATACAAATGATATTGACATAAATATCGTATTGAGTTCAACAAAGATAGACTCAAAGTAAAAAGAAATCATGACTTGAATCCTGACTCTACTCCTCCTCCTACTACTACTGTAAACAAAGAGCAACTTTGGGTGAATCATTTACCTTCTTACAGATTTCCCACCTCCAACATGGGCTTGAGGAAGGAGTTACGTGACTGCACTAGTTCTGCCTTCCATGATTGCGGTAGCCAAGCTTCTAATGAAAATATTTCATTTGTGTGTTTTCTTGTTCTTAT